ACATCATTCATATTCTTTGCAGCAATCAGTATATCATCAACATACAGTAACAGAAAAATAATAGAACCATCATCAAGGCTTTTCACATAAACACAACAATCATACTCACATCGCCTGTAGCCAATCTGCATCATGTAGGAGTCAAACCGCTTGTACCATTGTCTTGGAGACTGTTTCAACCCATACATCGATTTCTTTAACCTACAAACCAGATGCTCCTGTCCAGGTTGAGTGAACCCTTCTTGCCGCTTCATGTAAATCTGCTCCTCCAAATCACCATGCAAGAAAGCAGTTTTAACATTCATATGCTTCAAATGCAAATCCCAAATAGCTATTAATGCAAGCACTGCCCTGATTGAAGTATGTCTGACCACAGGAGAAAAGATTTCATCATAATCTATCCCCTTCTGCTGCGAAAATCCCTTTGCAACCAGTCGAGCCTTGAACTTTTCCCCTTCTTTTTCTGATACTGCTGCTTTCCTTTTGTAGACCCATTTGCACCCAATAACCTTTTTTCCCTCCGGAAGCTGAACTAGCTCCCAAGTGCGGTTTTTTCTGCAAATACTCCATCTCCTCAACCATTGCACTCATTGATTTCTCTTTCTCCTGGCTAGTGATAGCTCCTTGAAAAGTGGCTGGATCATCGCTGCTGATGAGAAGTGCACAAGAGACCAAGTCTTCATAACCCAATCTGCTAGGAGGCCTTATATTGGTCTGTCTCTTTCTATCTCTGGCTATATTGTAATTCTGCAGATCATCTGGAATAGAATCACCAGGTGTTGGATTTGAACTTTCACCTCTCTCAGAAGCTACTGTTGTTGTTCTAAATCCATCTGCACTGCATCTGAACTGGAACTGTTCCCTGACACCTTATCTTGATTCTGTTGTAACATAAACTGCTCATAAAAAATTACATATCTGCTGATCGCCATCTTCTTTGCAATCGGATCTCAAAACTTGTATCCTTTTACACATTTCTTGTAGCCCAGAAAGATGCACTTCTCGGATTTTGCATCAAGTTTGGATCTTTCATCTCCACGTACATGCACACAAGCAGGACATCCAAAAATCCGTAAATGATCAAATTTAACTGGATTACCTGTCCATGCCTCTTCTGCGACCTTGTCACCCAATGATGCTCAAGGTGCTCTATTGATGAGATAACATGCCATATTCACAGCCTCTGCCTAGAAACTCTTAGGAAGCCCTGCATTCAGTCTCAAGCACCTTGCCCTTTCAGTTAAGGACATGTTCATCCTTTTGGCCACACCATTCTGCTGTGGTGTCTTCCGCACTGAAAAAATGCCTCTGAATCCCATGCTCCTCACAGAATTTCTGAAACTGCGAATCTGTGTACTTTGTGCTATTATCGGACATCAAATACTTGATCTTTCTGCCAGTTTAGTTCTCCACCTCAGCTTTCCACAGCTTGAATTTAGAGAAAACTTCAGATTTCTGCTTCACGAAATACACCCAAACTTTCCTGGAGAAATCATCAATAAAGGTAACGAAATACTTAGATCCTCCCAATGACAACTCCCTAGTTGGGCCCCATACATCAGAATGCACATAATCAAGGATTCCTTCAGTTTTGTGCTTTCCAGTCATAAAACTGACTCTAGTCTGTTTTCCAAGAATACAGAACTTACAAAGATCAAGCTTGCGGCTTTTAACTCCATGCAACAGATTTCTTCTATGCAATTCCGCCATCCCACGTTCACTGAGATGACCCAAACGCATATGCCATAGCTTAGTACTGTCATTATCTGACTCCACAGAATGAACTCCACATACAACTGTACTCCCTAACAGTCTATAGATATTACCTGCAGTCAACTTTCCTTTCATCACAATCAGTGCACCCTTAACAATTCTGATGGTTTCCCTATCCTCATCAGCCTTAGGAATAAAACTATTTCTGTATAGAGTGCCCAAAAAAATCAGATTCTTCTTCAGATCTGAAATATGTCTGACATCACATAACGTTCTAACTGTGTCATCATACATTTGAATTTTGACTTCTCCAATACCAACTATATCTATATTGACTATATTGCAACATCTATCATCACCCAAATAGACTGAGCCAGAATTAGTTGACCTGTATGAAGTAAACCATTCTCTGTTAGGTATTATGTGATAAGAACACACAGAATCAAGAATCCATGCATCCGTGAACTGAGTTGATGAAACTGAGAGCATATCACCATCACTGCAATCTGAACTATCATTTTGCACCACATTTACAGACATCGATGAAGTATCACCTTTCCACCAGTCAGCTTCTTCAGCTTTGGACAATCTCGCTTCATATGACCTGGCTCCTTGCACTTGTAGCAATGAATTTCCTTCTTGCCTCTAGACTTTGATCTGAAATTTCGCCTTCCAGATCCCTCCTTCTCTTTCTTCCTTCCATGATCCTGCTTACTCTTCACATATAAACTGTCACCGTGAGAGCTTCCCCCTGCATTCTCCTTCCCCTGGTTGTGAGCCAACAACGCTGCAGTAATCTCATCCACTTTGATAGTTTCTTTCCCATATGTCAGAGTAGTCACCAGGTGTTCATAGGAAGAGGGCAATGAACATAAAAAAATCATCGCTCGATCTTCATCCTCAATACTCACATCAAGCCGTGATAAATCAATGATTATTTGATTGAAGACATTCACGTGCTGCGCCAGATCAGAACCTTCCTGCATCTTCAGCCCATATAACTTTTGCTTCAGATACAACTTGTTCGTCAGAGATTTTGCCATAGACTGAGTTTCCAATTTCTTCCAAACTTCTCCAGGAGATTTCATATTCATCACGTGTTAAATAGCCTCGTCTGCCAGAAATATCGTCGCTGCCGCTCGCTGTTGCAATTCTTCCCAATCTTCATCCTCCATGACATCTGGTTTTGCTGCCTGCAAAGCCTTCAAGATTCCCTGTTGCGCCAACAGATCTTTCACCCTGGTTTGCATAATCCGAAGTTACCAGTTCCGTCGAACTTCACCACTTCGAATTTTGCACCAGAAAATGCCATCTGAAAATTATTCCTTTGCTTCAGATTTTCTCTTAGAATCGGATTTACTCCCTTGATCCTCCCGCCTGCAAAAAAGGAATGCATCTTCCCTTCTCTGTTTCTCTTAACAGAGCCAAAGAATATCTCAGGGAATATTCTTTTTGATTCCTTGATTCCTCCTCTCCGCTGCCCGCAGGACCGCTCCTTCCTTTTTCCTTCGCAGATCTCCAACGCGCCTTCCTTTTCCTTCACAGATCTCCAGCGCGAACCTCCCTTTTTCGCACGCCAAAGCTTCCTCTGCGAACAACCTTCCTCGGGAACAGATCCTAGCCTCCGCGAGCTGCCGAACAACAACCACCGTCCGCTAATCCCGGGTCACGATCCTCCTCCAAATCGCCCGAACCTTCTGCTTCAAGCCTGCGATCTGCAACTTCTGCTCTAAACACCGCGAAGCCTTCGCCGAATCTCCTCTGCGGAAATCACCAAACTTCCCCTTCGCGAACTACTCCTGCCGCCGCGATACGCCTCCCCGAGGCTTGCTCTTCCTACGCCGAACCACCGAGATCCTTGCGCCGAGATTGCTCTTCTGCCCTAGCCGAAAAATCCTCGGCCAAAATCTTCGCCGCAAAAAAAAAAAAAAAATCTTCTGCGCCCTCGAACCAGTCTCTGATACCACTTGTTGAGAAACTTAGGGCGAAGAAAAATAGTAATCGACACAAATCCAGAAGAACACAGAGATTTAACGAGGTTCGACAAAGATGCCTACGTCCTCGGTGAGCAGAGCGACGAGTTCTTTTCAATAATCAAAAAAGGGTTTACAGAATTCAGGGATACCTCATGGGGTTACTAACATGTCTATTTATAACCCCAGGAGTAAACCTAGGCACAACATGTAATTACAACATTACCCCTGTACCATACCGCGGGGCTTTGCCCCCGCACCCCAACCTACGTAACTCCCAATTTGGACAGATTCTTCCGCTCCGCTTCGATTCAGCGTCTGTCCCAATATGGTATATGAGCATTGGTGCTATATTTAAATGTATAGTAACTTAGTGTTATTGGGATATAGTTGGACTTATTTTTAGTATGATAAAACACAATGAGCGGGACAAAATGATCTTCTATTTAACTACAAATTATATTTCATGAGTTAAAGATTGCTTAAATGATATAAATTTATTGTCAAACTAGTATGATGAGAACGATCTAGATAATATAGCAGCGATGAACATTAATTCTCTTTTTTTGTTCCAATTTGATTCAATATTCAATAATGCATCTTTGAGCACACATTATGTGATCAAGGGCTTTGTTACTTCCCATTTACTTAGGAAACACAATCACATTTGTTGAGTTCACCCTGCAAGATTTTAACATATCATAGCTGAAGGGACGCACCTGCGATGCCCTAGCTTGAACTCTTTTGCTCTGCCTCGCCTTTACTCTCATGGACTGTTTCTCTAGCAAATGGTATTTATAACATAAAAGATACAATATATATTATATATTATTTATAGCCATGTGTATTTACTTGTTTACCCTCTTTTTATAAATTACTAGTATTTCATTCTTAAATTTAGAATGTATTGGCAAAGTTCATTAGGGAACATTTAAAGATAAATATTAAATAAAAAATAGAAATGAATATTCAAAACCTCAAAATACATAAAAAAATTACTATTTATATTAACTAAAAATTAATAATTAACGAGTTTTGTGCAGACAAATTAATTAATAAATAATTGTTTATATTAATCAATTATTAATTATATAAATTATAAATTACTGAATTTTTTATCAAATAATTGTAAATTTAAATATATATTTAGTAATTAATTAAACATTAAATTATTTATAAATTAAATAAGTATTATTAATTGATTAATATATAAAATAATTATTAATCGGTTAAACTAGTAAAATTAACTTAAACAAAAATAAATTAAAACCACAGCTAAAAATCTCCCTCATCCCCCGCCACACCCCTGTGCCCGAAGCCGTCGCCTACATCCCCCTCACCCAAAACAATCGACTTCATGATCGAACCTTTGCGATACACTCGGCATCATAGATAGCTGGGAAGGCAGCGCCGGGATCGTGGCCTGCAGAAACTACCGAAACTTCCATCTTTCCCATCCTCCCTCTCCGCTCCTACCAGAAACCATTGAGAAAGGTAAGCCAGTTCGCGCCATTCTTCCTCTTCCGTCATCCCGGATTTACTAAATCCGCCGATTCACAGGATTTAATAAATCCCGGATTTATCGCGAATCGGCGTTATTTTGGGATCTACGGAGTTTTTTTTTTGCCGTTTGGTAGCTTAAATCCTGCGTAAATCCTTCTTAAAACCGGCTGCCAAACAGTCCCTAAGTTATTACATGTTATATGGTTTTTTAGTGTAAATTTCTAATTTTTAGTTGGTATTAGTAAAATAGTGATTTATCGGTATGATAGATTTAAGCACATTGGATACATTTTGCGAGCAAAAGATATAAATGATGGCATAATTCATAGAGTGGAGCATACAACAACTACAATAACAAGCCTTTATTCCACTAAGTGGGGTCGGCTACATGAATCCTTTTTTTTCCATTGCGTCCTATTGAGTGTCAGAGTGTCATAATTTAATTCTAAAGGCTTGAATGTCATAGAGTCGAGCATGAGCGAATCAAATAAAGAAGCGCTTGAAGTGGAGTCCGTAATAAAATAATACACTATCATTATAAATTGTTGAATTATTTGAAAGTTTGAAGTTAGAGTAGATTTTGTTTAAGTTTAATCTTAAGTTTGTATCTTGTTATATTGGTTATAAATTTTGAGATGCTCATTAAAGAATTCAAAGTGAGACATCTTGGTGCATGAAATTTACAACAGGCAGAGTTGTGATAAGTGAGGCATCTTCCAAATCAAATGAATATATAGAACAGTGTAGGAAGTTTCTGGTTGATAAACATCTTAGGTTTAATTGACAAATACAAACTACATGGCATATGATTTTTGAGTGTAAATTTCTATATTTTAGTTAATATTAGTAAAATAGTGATTCCTCGGTATGATAGATTTAAGCATTTTGGATACATTATTCAAGCGAAAGATATAAATGATGGCATAATTTATAGAGTCGAGCACGAGTGATTTAAATAAAGAAGTGCTACAACTATAGTCTGTAATAAAATAATGTTCTGTATATTAAATTCTAAATATTTTGATAGCATAATTAGATCAACTTTGTTAGCTATATTCTTAGTGTTGGGCAGTAAAGAAATTACATGCATTAAAAATTATTGTATCTGAAATTAGGGATAATACATTGAGATGATAATATCATACAAATAGTAATAATAACACCGTGAAAGTGGAGTGGAATATTTACTATTTTTTTCATCTATTATGAAGGTCAAAGACGAACTCATTGTGCCTATAGATAGAATCAATGTTGAAGGGATACGAAGAAAAAAATGTTAGGCCAAAGTAACATGATTACCGACCATGTAAAAAACCTGCACATATTAGAGTAACATCTCATATGATGCTCAATATTAATGTTGGCAGGATAATTCATCATGCAAACTCACCTTAAGTAGTTTAGATGAGGTAATAATGTTGATTGATGTTTAGATTTCAAATTTTGTTTTATTTTATGTTCTGGATTATGAAATTATAGCGATGGCTTATCATTGATTAATACTGATTTTGTTGATTTTTTTTTTATGTTTGAGATTCATGAACGTCCATAATTTTGTTGCATGATATTTTTATATTTACACTAGGATCCTCTATATGATAATTGGTAGCTTTTATCTAAATCACTTTAGATCGCTTGTGAATGCAACTTTAAGGGCTGACCAAATATTCATTCCTTCATATCATTTAGCCTAGCTTGGCTCATGTCAGAAGTTGTGGCAAGGAATGGTCATCAGACTAATCCCATCTTGTTGATATCCACTCATCGCTATAGTCGCAACTTCCAACTTTTTTACGTAGACATAGCCATAGTCAAAGTAACCAACTAGATAGATGGTTAAGAACCTCTTCCTCAGTAGTTGTCTCAATAAAGATTAGATGATAGCTGTAGGTGATACATCATATCATCACGTACCACGAGACTTAATGTTTGTGAGGTAAAATCTGGAATGATCTCTGTCTATTGGAACCCCAAAACCTCATTAAACTTTCATGATTGAAACAGTGGTAGTGCTTCAACGGACCTGAAATTATTCTTATTTTCGATTGTTACAGTACATTGTAATAATGAAAGTTCTTTGTATCTGGTATCATCTTGAAAAGTTGTTCTTCTCACATATAGTTGTTTAATATAGATTGTTGCTCTTACTTTCATGCAATGTTGTACCTTTATTTTTTTTTTGCAGCCGGAGTACATTAATGGCATGGAGGGCGATTTGCAAAAAGGTTAATCTCTCCCATAAGCAACCTTGTACTTCTCTTTTCTTCTAGATTGCGGTTCTATTAAGAACAGCATATTTGCCCTTGGGTTTGAATTAGGCTGTTGCTATTTTGCCAAATTATGGAATATGCAAATCCTTAAATGCATGCCTTATTATTCAAGTTTTATGGCTTTTGTTTTGTGTCAATATGGCTTAATTATTCCTTTTGTTGTATCTTACAGCATTACCTTTCTATATTTTTGTTGATCCAACATTTGAAATATGTGGGAAAAATCTCTATCTATTTCCATTAATCATGCCTCCATCAATTCTGCCCCCATCAATGTTTGTTCTACACCTGTCCTTATTCCTTCTTCATTTCATGCCATGTTAGTGATCCGTGTGATTATTATTTTCACCTTGTTACTCTGTGGACTGGCCTAATTATAATTAACTCTATATTTAATCTTCAGTCCCTTGTTGTTATGTTTTTTGTTTTTATGATTTCTATAAACTTATGTTTAAATTGAGCACAAATAATGAAATTAATCAATACATTCTCTTAAATTTTTATCATGGCATCAAAGCATTAAGCATATCTATAAGCCTCCGCCTTCATCATTGCATTGATTGGAATTTGCAATCATTTATTGCTATAGGTTTCTTTTCATTTTGCATAGTTTTCTCATTTGTGGCCTTCATTATTGCAGCTTTATTTCTATCCGTCTTTCTCTTTGCCACAAATTAGAATCACAATATTACTTCCCTTAGATCACAAAAATATCCATGTTCATTTGGTCGGAGGCGCACTTGCAACTGAGGCCCACAACTCAAATCTAGTGGAAGAAATATAAAATATTCATTCAATATATCATTTGAATGGAAATAATTTTTTTAAGTGATATCTATTGGTTTAAACCTTGAAGAGAAGAAGAAAATCAACCCATTAATCTTGACATAGGACCTCAACAAGATGATCCCACATTCATTACTTAGGATGTACAAGACTTTATAGTGATGCTTTGGGTTATGAAACTCTTATGATTTGTGAAGTATATGAGACCTGTATGTTCATTCAACAAGTAGTAAAATAAAATAAAAAAGAAAAGAAAATGAGATACGATAAATTAAACATAATTTAAAGCATGTAACACAATCATTATCAATGCTTCCAAATGGAATGTAGAAACCCTTCTTAAAGGTTTGTTGAAAAGACCAAATTTATGAGTTTCTGGCTATAGGGGAACACATTTTCAAAAAAGTTTTTTTACCTTCCTTAAATGAAGTCATTGCCATTATTCAAATGAAAGAGGGGGGAAAGGGGAGTTTTGTTGCTTATAATCCCATAGAAGATTGGACTCTAATGTTAAAAGGTATCGGCATCAAATGCCTCTCTGATCATCAGAGAAGCATAAGCAGCCACTCCCAATAAGTTAATAGAAATTCTTTAGTGTACTGATATTGCAAAAATTCTTGACATACAAAAGAAAGATTTTGGAAACTTCATGAAATTCTAACTAGCAAAAGCTAGATAACACCTGGGGGATACGCTAAAGAATAGAGGCATGCATGTGCAACTTATATAGAAGAAAGTAGTATCATAGAATCATCCATATAGTTTCTCAAAGAGGAAATAGAAAAGTTGAAAAACCTTGTAACATTGGAAAAGACTCTTACAGGTACTTATTCTCTTGCATCCATAAGCTTTACTTCCTCTTTTCATGCATTTAAAGTCCCAGAGATGCCTAATTTCAGCTTCTGAATTTTTAATTCAAGAGTTACAAACCATACTAACACCTTCACATAAATTTATTTCATATACTTGTCATAGCAATTTAAAAATAATTATAACCTATGGATCTCTATGATATTTGTCGGCCAACTAGACATTCGTATTAATTAATTTTTCATACTTCAAAATGTTATTTATATGCTTAAATTATTTTTTAACTTGTTAGTCTTGTTACTATCCAAAAGTTAACTATATACTCAAAATGCATTGTTATATTTTATTCTTTAGATTATATATTTTGTGAACAAGTCGCTAGGTAGATAATTTGACTTTGCTAAAGAAAGAGACAGTTTATCACTTTTAGAAATCAAACGACCAAATAGGCTCCAAACTTCATGCTGTACTATATTTTTGTTTTAAAACCTTTAAATTTAATAATAAAAGGATATGACTTAAACACTTGTCTTTGCCATTCTTTTTTTTCAAAAATAATAGCAGTAAAGAATATGATTACAATACTTGGTATCAGTTTTCCAATAGGAAAAAAGTGAAAACAAATTCTTTTTTTTCTCTCATTGATAGTGATAGTTAGGTACCATATTCTAGACTAAACTTCTTTAGGGCTTAGGTAGGGTTCTCATATCCTCAAATATCTGCAATTTGCGCAGTAATGGATGAGGGTTCTCAAACATCTTTGGGGCTTAGGTAGGGTTCTCATATCCTCAAATATCTGAAAATTATAAAGAATTAGGGCTTTTTTTTTCTCCTTTTTATTTGATTAATAGATGGGGTGTACGCCCCCTGAGGCGCAAATTGCACTCCGGGCATACATGTCAGTGATTATTGGGATTATTATTGTCACCTCTACAATCCATGGACTGTACTAATTATAATTAATTTTCTATATATTTTTTTATTCTCTAAGTATTATATATTTTCTACTAGAAGTTTGCTTGTACTCATAGAAATTCAGCAGAAATGATAAAATGAATCACAACAAATTTCATCCAATCCTTATCAATATCATTGTTGCACTTATGCTTGATTAGGTAGGTGATCATCATTTTTTTGCATTTTTTTTAGATGGATGTTTTCTTTACAGCAATGAAGTATTTAGCTGTTGTTTTGTTCTTTTTTGTGTTTTTGCTGTAAGAAAATGATGCATGCGATATAATGAAGCACTAATACTCAGAGGCGATATGTCTAATATAGCACATTTTTAAGTTATTAAATAAAGGTTTACAATCATATGCAGCTGTAAACAGTAATGGATGGTGAATCAGTATTTCCGATTGCTTGTACTGATGTGATTCTGATAGAAATTGTGCATTTGGTTTTGTGAATCGAATCATGTATTTGTTTGGGCTTATTCTTAATTTGATCATTTTCTTATATATTTGTTGCATTCAGTGGCATCATGCTGCCGCAATTGCATTCTTAAATGAATCTTTAGTCGGATTTTCAGCTGATTTGATTTATGTTTTGTTTTTTGTCTATAAAATTACCTTCATTTATGGTTTCAGAGTCTTCAAGTGAGCTTCTTAAAGGCATTCACAGCTACAAATAAAGGAAGTGGCACATTTTTTCTCCCTGATTTGCCCAAGTTGATGCCAAGTAAGCCTGGAAAATATGTTAATGCATCATTCACAGAAATGTGCATTTTAGAAGCTATTTAGTTGTTAGACAGACGTAATCATAAGCATAGTTGTCTTCTATTGTTTAAACATTTACCCAAAAAATGCTCTCATATATGCAGTTATTTCTTTCTTGATTGTGAAGTCAGACTTATTTATAGCTCAAAAGCTCAGTTTGTTCGTTGACCCTATACTGCTCATAAACTAGTGAAGTAGCCTCCAACCGAAAATTGTGGTTCTTGCAATCATGAGCTTCCGACATTTGATTTTAGCCTTTTTTATCATTTTTTTTTCTTCTCCTGATTTCTTTCCTATTTTCTTATTTGTAATTAGGGTATTTTCTATCGGAAGACTATTTATATGTTATTTTCTCTGTTTTGAGGACTCAGCTTTATTTTTTGTGTTTTGAGAGATTATATTCTCTAATTTACAATCTAAAGAGTGTTGCGTCTTTTCTTTTTGCAAGTGATGTGCTTGTATCTTGTTTAGGAACAGGTGGTGAAACTCCTGGCTGCTTGTATCTCACTATCTCACCATCTGACCTGCTATTTCAGCCGGGACAGGCGCCGAATGACGCTTATCTCTTTCCGAACGCTATCGACATCGCATATTTTCGTTCCCTCGCTATTTCAAAACTATCTCCTCATAAAATTCACCTCCGAAACACTTTCTAGGAGCCCTTGAACAGTATCATCTGATATCAAAGCTCGACAAATTCAAGATTTTTAGAAATTTGTTCTTTTCCCCAAGTCTAAAATTTAAAAAAAAAGAAAAAAAAATCTCTTCATACCCAAATCCTTCCTATTGCAATTCCTAGCCCGCCCCAATCCTAAGTTTTTGAAATCCAACATTCTTAGCTCCACCAAAATTTCACCTCAACACTTACAACCAAAATCTTATGCTCACGATTAACTTTGATTTTCAGAACTACATCTGCTGGAAATCTGTTTGGGAGGAAAGTATGCCAAGCCACCAAGGAGGAATCTTCAGCGAGGTGTTCGAGAACTTACTATGGAGAATATGCAGTGAGAAACTTTTTAATTGAAGCAAAGACGATAACAAAGGCTTTCCACCTTTGTGAGGAGACAATCTAGTGAGATCACCCATAATAACAATGGCGACTCGCTAGATCGATAGAAGGAAGTGAATCCTTTTCACTAGGCTGCTTCCGGTGACGAAGAACCTCTCAATGATTCAACATGGAATATCAGAGGAGAAGCTAGGATTTTGGAGTAAATGTAGATTTACGGGAGAATGGCAGTCACATGGATCTGGACGAATTCATCGAGTGACTTCAGATGTTTGAACGAATCGTCTAGCATATGAACATTCCATTGGCATGATGGTCAAATTAACCACTATTAAGTTAATGAAGAATGTTTTCTTATGGTGGGAGAATCTGAAGCATCTTCAACAACGAGAAGAGAAGGGTAAAATTATTATGTGGCCTAAAGATTAAATGAGATGCAACGCAAATACCTTTCCCCACATTACCGATAAAATATGTTCACAAGACTCCATCACCTGCGCCAAATAGATTCTGATGTGAAGGAGTACTCAATTGAGTTTGAGCAACTTATATTGAAGAATGGACTAGTGGAGCACGAAGAGAACACCATAGTTCAATATCTGAGAGGATTGAGTTCATCCATTGACAATGTGGTACAATTGCAGCCTTATTGGACATTATAAGATGTTCAAACTGTAGGCCTGATGGTGGAGAGACAACTCAACAATGTTAATCCAAATAGAGTTCAACCATCATATCATACAACAAGATTACACCTAGTGGAGCACCCAAGTAGACCGATATGAGGAGAAACCCATATAGAGTGGAGAAAAGGTGGAGCCCACCAGTACTCCCAAATCCACCCCGTCAGTAAATGCTTTAAGTGTCGTGTTTTGGTCACGTGGCGTTGATTGCCCAAAAATGAGGGCTATTTTTTCACTGAGCAAGGAGCAGTTGAAGAAATGGACAGTGACACAATACTTTAGAGAAGATTCTCAACTTTCGGCCGACGAGAAAGAGACGCTAGTGATACAAATTGAGCTGATGAGAGAGATTCCAACTGAAATAATATTGGTTGTTTTAGAAGGTAGTGTTCCGAGAAGTTAATACTAGAAAAAAAGCAACCCTTTTTGAGGGATTCACTGGATATTCTGATCGACAATTTATCACTTGGGTGGTTACCACCGAGAGTGGTCCAACATACCATATATTTCATTACATAGTTGGTTCCTCCACACATACTTGTTTATGGGATACGCATAACCAAGCATGAGATCTGGGAGAAACATATTACATATTTATTGGCTCAAGACTTGGTGTGTGAGAAGACCTGCCTATGTTCAGCTCCAGCTCTGGTTGTGCAAGAAAAGATATATAATTATTCTATCATGATAATGCTTGGAATGAAGAATGTGTTTCAAAGTTACCTGGAATGAGCGCGAGCATAGGTTTTGCAACAGAGTTGCCTCATACACAACAAGATAATGATTTTGTCATTGTTGTGGTTGACCATTTCTGCTGGATAACATATTTTATTCCATGCTACAAAACAATGGACACATCTCATGGTATACCTAGAAACATTGCTTCATCGAAAGATATGAAATTTCTTAGCCGCTTTTGGAGGGTTTTGTTAGGTAAGTTAGACAGAAAGCTTTAGTTTAGTTTAGTAGTGCACTCACAGACAAATGACCAAATATGAGTGGTGAACTATGGCTTTGAATTTTTTTTTAGTTGTTTATGGGTAAGAGCATCCGACAGTGGGACCCAGGTCCCTTTAGAGAAGAAGAAACCTCTCCTCCCTAGGGAGAATGCACAGGAGCTTAATTGCTTCCGTAAGATTTCACAAAATGTCAAAACGGTTGAATTCCATGATCTCCGCAAGTCGCTCGAATAAAAAATCACGGTTCCTACAATCCTTGGCTCTTGATTTCTGATTTTAGCTTTTTTTTCTTCTCCTAATTTCTTTCCTATTTCTTATTTTTAATTAGAGTATTTTCTATCTGGATTATTTATGTGTTATTTTTATTGTTTTGAGAATTTAGTTTTGTTTTTGGTGTTTTGAGAGATTTTATTATCTGATTTATGATCTAAGGAGTGTTGTATGCTTTCATTTCGCAAGTCTTGCATTTGTATTTTGCTTAGAAACATGTGGTGAACCTCATCGTCTTCCACATCTTGCATTTTCGCCGACGACATGCTGTTTTTAGTTGGGATAGCTGCCAAATGACGTTTATCTTCTTTTGAATGTCGTCGACATCTTATATTTTTGTTCCCTCGCTATTCGACAAGTATCTCCTCGCAAATTCACGTCCAAAATGCCTTCTATGAGCCCTAGAATTGTATCACTCAATTTACTATTTCCTTGACTTGAACTGGGGACCTCAAGAGTACTTTAGAGGCAACTTAAGCAGATCCTCAAATAGTTTCTTATCACAACTGATATGTATAAGGGATGTCCAATGCTTAGAAGTTAGAACTTTCACATCACGAAGTTTTTGGGGGAGCTGAGGTGTGAAGTTATATGGCGCGGCACCTGCAGACAGGAGCTGCAGAAAAAGAAAATGATACAGAGAAAAAAAAAAGGTAAACTTCGGTATTCCCAGGTCGTAAGCACCAAAAGGAATAATCCCTTTTCAGATAACACTGTGGGTTAAACACTAGACAACTCAGCAAAAAAAAAATTAAGTAAAATACTCCAGTAATTAACTGATACGAAATTTACTGAAGTAAAATTGTAATGGAGTTAGGCAGCTTAAACGCAGTCCTCCAGCATAAAAAATCTCCCTGCATCATGATCTCTTTGCATCAACAATCTGCCTGCATGATTATATTACTTAATTGTTGGTACATGGGCATAAAATGATTCACGAACATGAAAATTTTTATATTCTAAATCGACTATTTACCTAAATTTTAGATGCACACAGCATGCAGTTTTCTTGAATATTTGGCATAAAGAAGTTAAACTTTGAAAATATGTTGTTTTAAAAATTGAAGCTGGCAAAATAATGAAATTGAACTTTTCTTCTTGAATGTTGGCACTTAGTCAACGAGGATCTCCAAAATTTAGTGCATACACGACTATTACACCTGTAATTTTGTAATTCTTACATTTGCTAAATTAACCTAGGAATGGGTGATAAATCCAAAAGCATGGTTCTTAGTGCCTTTGCTTTAGTGCATCATGCTTGAATAGCTCATTGTGGTAGGGGATTTGAAAGTTTTTCTTTTGGTTTTTGGAAAGAAACCGTCATAGAAGAGTGGAAGTGAAAGATTGCTGGACGCGGAGAAAGGAAGATCAAGGGGCTCAGGAGAGAGGTGATTTGTGATGGTTAGTAAGGAATTGAGGCTTGGATACTTGTTATTATGGTAGGGTGGATGAAATAGCATGTTTAGTATTATTTTAAGATTTGCAAATATTAGAAATCAAACATATTTTTGATTCAAGTAAAAGCTTAAACAAAGCAAAAAACAAAAGAATTTTTAAACAAAAAATTGGAAGTTGTCGTGCCAAATACTTTCCATGTTTCGCACCTAGTATCAAATGCAAACACACAAGCATTAATTTGTAGTGCTCTCATTAACAAATATATTGTCTTTTTATTCGTCATAGAAATTTTGTTTGTAGTTTGAACTTACCCTTGATGTCAAAGGCAAGTTATCTTTCTCACATGGGGAGCATTGCAAACATACTTGACGAAGAATTAACAAAGTTTGTGTATAATATCAGATTTAATTGTGTAGCCATTAGTTTGTAACTTGAAGTTACTTTCTTATTAATGCTAATATCCACTCACTCTCAGTAGCAGATAAGTCTCGGTCTTGAAGCCACTCTTGTTGTATAAATTCTAGTTATTCCTTGTAAAGCTGTAAAAGGTAAGCCGCCTATCTTAATTGATAATTAAGTTTATAGCTGAAATTTTTACTGAAGTCTGAATGAGAAGACTAATATTTATTAAAAAATAAATTTGTAAGTTCTAATTATAGATATTATTCATATTAGGCTACTTGCAAAACAAATTCTTAGCATATTATTTCTCACCTTAAAGTCATTCATAAGTCAGTGGACCTGTTGCACCTATTTTAGCTTTAATAGAGAGTCTTCTAATTATGTAATAATAGAACTATAATCTGATTTTTAATTTCTCAAATAAAGTATCGGTTTAAACTAAACTTATCTCGAAGTAGTTAAGAGAGGATGTCAATCCCCATGCTTCATCATACTCTCTAGTTGACTAACTCACCAACACTGATAATGCATTTGTTAATCAAGCTAAAAGGGAGGGGAAAGAATGTCTTGGAGAGAGCCATCAAAGATGGTGAAATATGAGACTCTAAGCCCTAACAGACTCACAAGTATCGTTCCTAGTTTAGGTAATCACCACGATTTACCTGGCTGTGAAGTGGTGGTCTGCTAGTTGGAATCTAGGTAAAAGGGTGACGATGTCATATCTTAGGAGCTTGTCTTATATGACCCTCAATAAATTTGCACATTGCTGGTGTCAATAAGGTTGGGAAGAAATCGAGGAATGGGTAGGAGGAATAGAACTTGAAAACAAGAGATATGAAAATAATGGAGTAGTCATTGTACATAAGTGTGTTGGTGTTGATGAGGGCCTCTTGTTATCTATTGTTTTACCCTTATGGTGCTTTGATCCAAGCCCTATTGAATGTATCTAGTCTATTTTAGATCACCGAAACATTTGTTCTGTGAAAATTTTGATAAAATATACGTAAATTCCTTAAAATAATCGTAAACATTGTACTTTTTATTCTGCTCATTTTATCATAGAAACCTCAAAATTTTTGAAGCTCCAATCTTGTGAGATTTTAAAAGTGGCCTATAAACTTATGTAGATGAACATTAATAGATAAAGTTTATAAATTTATCACTATATCAAAATCATAACCGGCATCTAATGGCTTCATCTTTTTCCTTACTATATACTGATTAATGTTTATAGTATCAAAGTGCTTTCACATAATCTCAATTATATGTGTAGTAAGAGCTAAGCAAACTAGTTTTTGCAATCATTGTATTTTTCAAAGTTCGTGATTAATAGTTGGTGCTTGAAATAATCTATTTCTGTGCATGAGTTTGGCACAATCATTCTATATTGTTTCATATTCCTCCATGCTTTATTTTGTTTGAGAAAATTTAATTTTTTGATCTTATGTTATTTAAATTATTGTGTATGATGCAGGTTGTTATTTCAAGGATGTGCCTACATTCTCCGTGGATCATAATTTTTTGCTAAATGGTTGCGTTATCAGGTACATTTACAACTTAGATGTAGATATACTTTTTACACACCGTAACATTGTATGCATGGATGATAACTGAAAGTATGCACCAACTTGATTTCTAAAAGAACATCAAAATAAAGTTTTTGGAAGCAGGATCATGGATTGTATCGAAAAGAGCCATCTGGAGTTATGACTCTTTCAAGATGATAATTGTGGAGTTGACACTGACACAAAAATTGCAGAAGTAGCTGAAGGTGGGTACCATAGCAAAGGAAAACAATCATGTTCCATTCAGGCAGGAAGGCAAACAACAAAATTATTGACTATAATGATTTTAGTACAACCTGAGATATCTAGTGTAAGCCGAAAGTGTGAATTCCTGTATGGGTTGTTGATCAATGGTAGTTGTTGAGTTTTAAGATATATGAAAGGAGAAAAATATTGATTTTAGCAATTAATTGTTGAGCAAATAATTTTGAATATAGATATATATTATATTTAAATTTAAAATTAATATTAATGCCATTTGTCATGTAGAGATGCTTTATTTGATTATAAAATCAAGTATTTGAACATTGCTTAATAGTAAATCAGCTCAATTTTAAAATTGATGTTATGTATTATTTATAGGGTGCATCAAGTACCATCTCTAGGAGTATTTTACGCTGCCAAAGGTGTGTATTATTTTGGATCATAATCACCAAATGTTTGAAGGTAATCATAACATTTATACAAGAGTAGTGTACATAACTCCTAGAGGGTGATCCTTGGCACATCTCATAATAGGTGCATACACATGATCACCTTTAAATTTTGATTCAAATCTTAAGATTGCCAATGTCACTGCCCACCTGCCACCATTTGTAGTAGCTTGTCGCCGCCTGCCGCCCTCCGACATTTGTAGCGGCCTGCCGCCACCCGCTACCTGTTGCCACTGAACTTATTGGGTTTATTTTATATTGATTTCTTTTTTCTTTAAACTTTTTTTTTTAAACCTAAGGAAAAAAAAAACACAAAGTCATGCATTTATTTTATGTTGAACCAAAAAACTCTAAAATTTTTCAAATACAATACATCACTTTAACAGTGCATTCTTTTTACACTGCGTTTTGTTTCAAGCAAACTAAACAACCCCTCTTTCCAACAAACCAAACAACCTCTTTGTCCTTTTTGATACATGGAATTTTTTTGCAAGGAATACTACTATTAATTATTACGAAACATAGGCCCATGAGTAGGCATTGGCTAAATTAGTGAATTAGAAGTCAACTCCTTCAACCATGCAACTTATTTTATGGCTTTAAATGCATCAATTTATTCATCTTCAGTTGTAGACAACGCGACAAGTAACTATAAATTAGGTTTCGAATGAACAGTTCTTTCAAACACCTTAAACATACCTAACATGTAAGGGATCTTCGTATCAAAACAATTTGCAAAATTTGAACCTACACAACTTCTAATCACTTTATTAATGGAATCAAATTTTTTAACACTTCAATCCCAAAATCCTGGTTGCATAAGTGTTTCCCATTTTGCAAATATTTCATCCTGGATTAGCCACGAACCTGCTTATAACAACAAGTAAATAAGCCAGTTTAGCCTACAACAGAACATAGATTATATGACACTCCTTATCATTTTATTAGAGAATATTTTTCATATATGATCTTTCAACGTCATCACTTGATGTTTGAACGTTGTATAACTTAAAATGCTGCGCTAAAGGTATAAAAACTAATTTAGAAGCTGCCATCCCATATTTTTCACAATTTCCTTGTTGTATGTGCCTTGCGACAAGAATAACTATTGTATGTGCCTTGCGACAAGAATAACTATTGCCTCTCTCTTTTTTGTTGTGAAATTTAGAGCAAAGCAAAACAGAAATCGACACAAAACCAGAAGAACGAATACAGAGATTTAACGAGGTTCGACAAAGATGCCTACATTCTCGGGAGCAGAGCGACGAAGTTCACTATTTCAGAGGAGTTACATACTTATAGGATTACACATCTATTTATAGATAAAACCCACAGAGAAATTTACAAATATGCTCTTGAACACGCCTCGCTCCCCCCAACCCACTAATCAAAGAGACACCTTTTCAAACCAAGAGACACATCTCTTCATTTCAGGAGACACACCTCTCCAAATCCAAGTGACTTCAAATTCCTGGTATATGAGCCATACCTAACAATTCTCCACCTTGGCGAATATCCAACCCCTTAGGAGAAAATCTCCACCTTGCGAATATCCAGCCCCTTAGGAGAAAAAATAATGGAGTTTCTTACACCGAAGTGGGTTGGGCAACCATGCCAACTAGCAACTGCAAACATTCAACAAGTTCAAGTAACACAAGAACTTGGTTAAAATACCTGGCTTGGTTAAAATACCTGATGCAATTTCATCATATGATCCGATCAGTATAAATATAACATGTAGTACTTCTTCTGGTATCAATGTCTCCAGCTAGATCAACATCAACATAGCCCCGTACCTCTGAACTCTTTCCTGAGAAACACAAACAAGTTTCTGCAGTGCCTCTTAGGTACCTCAAGATCCACTTCATTGCTTCTCAATGTTCCTTTCCTGGATTACTCATGTATCCGCTAACAACTCCCATTGCATGGGCAATATCCAGTTTGATGCAAACTATAACATATATAAGTGAACCAATAACTGAAGCATAAGGAAACCTTACTCATGTGATCTCGTTCCTCCTCTGACTTGGGGACTGATTCTTGCTGAGTCTGAAGTGACTTCCCAAAAGTGTGCCAACTGGTTTGGCCTTATCCATATTCAACCTGCTAAGTACCTTTTTCACATACTCAGCCTGAGAGAGTCTCGACCTGCCTGACATGCCTCTGACTCTATCTCTGACAATTCTCATACCAAGGATTTACTTTGCAGCTTCCAAATCCTTCATTGCAAAGGTACCCTGCACTGTGCATGAAATGCACTGTGCATGAAATTATCAAATTCTTGTCACCTCCCAAAAGAGCCCTTGAGAGAGGTTGACAACCCAAGACTTAAATACTGTTTTTCGGCCCTACACCTAGTCGATGTGAGACTATTTGTCCGTGACATTCTTCTCCATCCAATCACGTGATGCCCTCGTCACGGATCAGCTCCACCGAGGGTCTCACTGGATCATAGAGAGTTCACACATACCACTTGCCACCTCCCCCACTTGTCACCGCGAGCCACCCTATCCTCTCCGACGAGATCCGCCATGAGGCCCATTCCACGCCGCTAGCTTTTGATGATCGCCGCGATGCGCACTGCCCCATCTCATCGGCGAAGTTCAAAGAGCAGGAGGATCCGAACCAATCATCTCCGCCACTCTGTTAATCCTCGCTTCTCTCCTTCCCTCTCTCTCTCTCTCTCTCCTCCAAGGAATTTACACCAGTCGATCTCTTCGACAATTACAAGAAAGAAATTTCTTATTTCTTCTTTCTCTATATCTGAGAGCCACAACAGAAGACAAGTTCAAAGAAAGGAAACACCACAAACAACAATTCCTTCTTCCTGTCTTCACCTCAAGCAAGAACTCCTTCCTGCCTTCACCGCAAGAAAGAGCTCCTTCCTGCAAGCAAGAAATCTTTCTTCCTGTCTTCAACGCAAGCAAAAACTCCTTCCTGTTTCCGCGAACTGAAGGAGTCGTAGGCTGTTTCACGAAGAGAAGGAACGGAAGGCTTTTCTGTTTCGCGAGAGAGAGACAGAGACGGGAGTTTTGATTTGCGAACGAGAGATGCGGGGGACTATTTTCGTGAATGAGAGAGGCGCGGGGGGAAGTTTTTCGTGAACGAGAGAGGCGAACATGGGAGAGAGAGAGGCGGGAGTATATATTTACCTTTTTTTTATTTGAACCGGGCTCCACACAACATATCCCTGTTGATCTCCATTCAATGAATTTTCTTGTTAGCGTCAATATTATTAATTTCAAATTTTATTTTGTGCAAAACATTCAATCTTTAAGTTTCATCTGAGTTAGCATTTCCAAATAACATATCAACATAAATACAAGATAGCAGTACCGACCTTGTCAATTTCAGATATACGCAAAAACCATATTTGCTACGAGCAAAACCAATATCAAGCATATATTCATTAAGAATCTTTTTAACAAATGTACTTGATCTTTAGTTTCAATTTGTGTTCTGCTTGTTGGCATAGGCGAAAACCTGCTGATATTCTTACCAAAGGATTTTTAGGGCTAGTTTTTTCAAGCTTGCTTAGAATGGATGATATCCATTCATTTGTATGACTGTGAAACATTTTCATATTTTTAACGAGTTGGGGCCCACAGTCACCTAAACTTCTGATCCGTTTCCTTTTTTTTTTCTGCTTTTAGCTCACTTGTCTGCACTCATCAATCTATTGCTGTTGCACTTCTTATTCTTTAATTTTGTATGTTTTTATTATAAGTTTTTTTAGGATTGTATTATTTACTGCACAAATTTTAGAGTAAAATACATATCTCACCTATTATCCTTGGTAGTTGTGGACCATGTCTCTAACCTATTGGCTACAACATATTTTCCATTAAGTATACCTATAGGTATTTGTTGGACTATATATTCTTTCCTCTGAGTGAAAATTTAATTGTGTTCATTTGGACTGGCACATAATGATCTTATATCCTGATCGCGCATCAAATATTTAAGAAAACCTTTTGATTAATATTTTTGCAGACATGATGAAATGGCTTGTTGGATGCACTCCTATGTTTCTTAGCATTTCATCAGCAGGACTATAAAAGCAGATAAATGGTATTTTGGACCATATAAATTTTTACTTTAACAACATGTACGTAGACATGATAATGGGGCTTACTGCTCATTGTTTTCATCAAGTTTGAAAATATTGTAGATACATTCATTAAATTTTCACCCAAAACATGGTTTTGTTCTCTGTTTTTCTTTTGTCGACATGAACGCTGACATGCCTTTGTGCATGATTCCTTCCTACGTGGACATTTTTCAGATTGGGTGGGCTTTTTACGAAGTTAAAAATACTTGCAAGAAAGCCAAAGTTCAATACCTTCCTCCTTTTTTTAGTAACATATAAGAATTGTTACTTTTAAGTTGTTTAATTTTGGCACCCTTAATAAAATTCAAATCCTTAAAGTGCAATCTCTTCAGCACATATTTCTCAAGGAAAATTTTATTTTGTGATTTACCTGGTGGAAGTGGGATACTACATTCTGAATTTTAACTTTTCTGTGTTGCATGTTCTGAAATTTCTGCACTTCTTTACTAAAAGTTTCGGAAAGTTTATTTCCTCACCTGCGTTTCTCCTTTGTTCTATGTGATAACATTTCACATGTTTGCGTTGTTTATTTTTCAAATTAATATTTATTATGTTATATGTAATATGTTTTTTATTATTGAATTATTGATTTGCTTTATTTTATAGGATGTTTCATGCAAGTTACAGTCCGGCATTGAGAATGAAGGAACATGTACCTGGTTTGAAAATTCCTAAAAAAGATAGACGGGTTAGAAGAGAAACTAGAATTGAAGCTCCTGTTGAGGCACCGTATGTTCCGCCAAAACAAAAATTAACTTTGAAGCCTTTGTCTAACAAAACCGTTGATATTTTTGAAGGCATGACTATTGTTGAACTGGCTAAGAGGACAGGTGTAAGCATAAAGTATTTACAAGAGATAATTTTGAATGTTGGTGAGAAAGTTGATTCAGAGTTTGATCCACTTAGCATTGATATCGCCGAGCTAGTTTCCATGGTATAGCTCGATGCATCTCTTATATTTATTTATAATTTATTATTTTATTTGTGGTTGCCTTGATGGTTTGGTCACGTTAAATGTCGACCATATGATGACCCTGTTAGGAGAGTTGATGTTTTCAATTTCACTTATGTTAAAAAAGTTAGTGGTAGACCTAAAAAAGACATGGGCATAAGAATTAAAGGAAAATATGACACTCAATAGGACATAATGGAGAAAAAGGATTCATATCCAATCCCACTTAGTGGGATAAAAGCTTGTTGTTTGTTATTTTTGTATTTTATTTGTGTGGTTATGGTTTGCTTCTACAAAATTAAGTGTTTCTCAATATGATAAAATGGCTTTAGTTTTCTGACATTACACTATGTTTTATGTGTCAGCCTTAATCTTGCCTTTATGAATGACCAATACATAGTCCATCAAATAAGAGCGCTTATTATGTTGGATTTGGTTGAAGAAGTTTCTTTCATGCACTAGTGTTTCATTTCCTCATTTGATGTTTTGTTCACATTTGTTGTATGTGCACTTTCTTTATGACTTTTTGAGCATGTGGTCTGATTCTAGAGCAGCTCATTAGATGTTTTATTTTTATTTGATACAATACAACACTGTCATCTCAAAATAGTCTAAAAATAGCCAAATTTAAAGTCATATTACGTCTTTCTATAATGTTTAGTTGGTAGAACTTTTCATTTGCCTTGGTGACTTTAGTATAGTAGAATTTCTGAACTTTTCGGTTGATACAAATTTGACCAAAATCCAATTGAACACAGTGGCATTTTCTTATGTGAATCTAATATTGACGCTACTAGTTGTAAATTTTATCTTGATTCCCATCCCCCCTCGAGGTTTTGACTCTCATCCGCGAGCTTTCCTTATGATGTATGCACTAGCTTTACTAGCCAGCCCAACACACAATCTAGAAGCTCATCAGGCCAATCCCCACTCTTGGGTCTTATCTTTGCTTTCACAAAGTTGCTAGTTCAATTTCATGCCTTCCTCTCTGTTGAGATTAAATTCTCTTTGGCATTTTTATGAATATAAACCCATCCCAAGGTTGAGTTCGTGCCGAATATATTGATCTCGAGCTTCTTGAACCTCCTTCGCTCTTTGTCATGGTTTAAATTTTGATCCTTTGGGCTTTCCCAAAGATGTATCTCACAACCTCATTTAGCAAGCCAACATAGTTACCGGATCTCACTTAGGGCCCGTTTGGGGCAGCTTATAACTGCGGGCGGCGTTTTCTAAAAACCCCCCGCGGGGGGATTCACGTTTCGTTCGCGTCCAATTACTTCGCTGCCCTCGTTCGTTCGCATATCCCTTTCCCCTCGTTCGTTCGCGTCTTCTTCGGTAGCTGCTCCTCCCTCTTCTTCGATAGCCGCTGCTCCCTCTTATTTGGCAATCGACATACCTCTTCTTCGGCATAGGCGTTCTCTTCGGTAGCCACTCCTCCCTCTTCTTCGGCTCCTTCCTCGGCATTTCTTCTTCTGCATTTTCTTTCGTATCTTTTTTTTTTGCTCTACACTAAAATCAGAGCAATTTGTTAAAAAAAGTGCTGCTGTAAAACACAAAAGGGAAGAAGAGACGTGAGCCTTGCTTCTTCCTTGGCATTTCTTCTTCCTCCTCCGATCGTTCGAGAACGAGTGTTTTCCCTTCATATAGTCGGTTGAGCTGCAAGATTGATTTCTCGTTTCTCCGATTATTCAAGTGGAAGATTCTTCTCCTTCCTCTGGTTATTCAAGTCACAAAGATTTCTTTCTTTTCTCTCCTATCAAACCAAAAGAAACTTCAATCGAGTGAACCTAAAACTATATCTTTGTCTTAAGCCATGCATTTTGGATTTTCTATTTTAGTTGGATCTGAGTTCAAATTTGTTGAAATTGTTACTTTTTTTTGGTTACTTTTGGGGCATATGAGTGATGACATGCATTTTTCAAATTACAAGTGGTTAGTTGAGATATTACACTAGAATTTTTGAATTGAAATTTTTCTTTTCGTATATGGATTTACAAGAAACCTTGGAACAAATCTAAGTGTTATCTTTTCTTCTAGCCGAATTTTATTTGGATAGTATTTTTGTTCGTCTTGCTTGAGAGAGAAATGAGATTCACGATTTTGTTGGAGAGATTCTTGAAATACTAAATTTGAGAAAGTAAAATTAATCTTGTAAAGTTGAGATACTGCATCTTGTGCAAGAATCATGCACGAACGTTCCCCTGAATTTTGTAAAGCTAGTGTTGTAATTTTTTTTAAAAAGTACGGTTGTCAAAGTTTGCATCAACATTGATGTTATTAGATCTGAAGAAAATGTTTTATTAAAACTGGCAGCCTCTATTTGATTACAAAAAAAAACATCTTTTATGTTTTATTGGCTTTAGGTACTTAAAGGAAGACTCATCAAAATATTTTATGAATTAAATTTTGGTTTCATTGATGTGATCGGAAATATTTGATTTCATTGATGTAAATGTGCTTCTTTGATGTGATCGAAAATATTCGAGTTATATAAATGTAACTCAACTCTTTTGTATTTTCATGTCTTAACATTTGAACTTCAATTTTGTTGAGAAAATTACAAATTCTGCGTGACAGATTGTTCATTTAACTAAAAAAATCTATAAATAAACTGTTTATAAAACGCCAAACCAAACAACTAAACAGCTTATACAGAACAGGGGCAAAATAATAATTTTTCCAGAATCAGCTGTTTTCCAAACGCACAAACCAAACAGCCAGTCAGCTTATCCGGATCAGATGCTCATCAGCAGATTATCAGAATAAGTTGTTTATCAGCAGAAGCCGGATAAGCTGCAGCTGCCCCAAACAGACCCTTAATCAGCAAATCACAAGTTATTTAGGCTGGCAGCTATTATATAGGATTTTAGGCTGTGCTCCCATGTTTGGAAAGCTAATTCACCTACCCCAAAACTAGCTATTTATGTCAAATATAATTTTTGGGCAAGTCCATTCCTCAAATCTATGGTCTTCTTCGCGGTGTAGGTCATGTTCTATATCAAACTAAGTTGGGGAGACTCATGGCCATTAAATATCCAAATATTGACTTATGCAGACAAACATGCTTGCCAAATCCCTCGAAAGGGTGGTTGTATTTCAAGATGTCATCATGAGTTGGAAATGTTGGTCATATCCATCTAACCCTCACATTGGCATGCTCAGGTGAGCTCGATGCTCATTGCAGTAAGCCCTTATCAATCTAACTTTAAAATGGAGAAACCTTTTCTAAATTTCAAAAGATGACCATGGACTCACTGAAATATTGTGGTAAAGTAATGTTTAAAAAATCTTCATGGATTTGATGTGTAATATATACATAAAGAACAATATTTATGATTCTTTTCAATATATAAATTTTTGAGCAAGACAATGTTAAATTGTTATATTTTTTACTTTGGTTTATTTGTGTAGAGATTACTATGTTATCGATATTTGTTTAAAGTAGGGTCTTATAAAAGAAATTAAGCTACAATTCCTTAAAAAGTAGTAGATGAAGCTTTTTACCGAGCTTTAGAGTTTGGAAATATTATAGATTTTTTTGGTTAGGGCTATTGTAACTTTAATTAATATTTCAAACGAATAATCTTTTCATCTCACCTAAACCACCCTATTAAACAAAGACCTACTTCAAAATCCAATATGATCAAATTTAATATTTTTGAAGAAACTATAGTTTATGATATTCTTTAAATCGTAAAATGAATATGAAAAATATGTATAGTTAAAAAGGATTTTATGTTTGATGTTAAATTTGTATTTGCATTGGAGTTTTCACTTGCGAACATGCTCAAACAATTGTTGAAACCTGAATCAAAAGTTAAGGTATGCAACTTTATCTGAACCTAAACTTCAAACTAAAAATGAATTTTTTGCTAATTGTGAAACTGATCAAAATATGCTTTTTAAAGTTCTTGAATCAAATAAGCAATATAAAATCCTATAACTTTTAAATGAGTTTTCTTACTCTTGGTTTTAGTTTTTTACTTTCAAATTTATATAAGGACCTTATCAAGAAAGTCTAAACACCACCATTTTCTTCGCAACCTAGGTGTTCTTAAGTGCATTTCTCATTTTTATATGTTCATAGGTGAATTCTATGAGGTTTCTTCATTAGTTTGTTAATTTTTGCCTTTCTTCATGTCGATAGGTGTTCATTTTGGCAAAAGTTTTTGCATTTGCCAGTGGCTTGGGCGGCTTGTTGTCCAAATTTAGGATTTTACAAAAAAAAATTGGCACCACTCTGTCATTATTGTGAATGGGTTAACGTGAAGTGTATGAGCCCTATTTCATCCTCGAGGAGAAGGCACGCATAGGCACACATGATGATGCACAACATGTCGAGGCTATATTTTGTGTCATCTCATCCATGCTAAGAAAGTTAGGCCTATGTGATCCGTTATATTGAGGCAAGAATGATTTTAGCTATGATCACAAAGATGTTTGGGTTCTTTGAAGGAATTATCCTGCCTATGCCGAAAAGGCAGGCATATGTGCTTTGAGAGGGTATCCTACGAAAAAGAAGCATAATAATATTTATGGGGTTTCTATCTAGGGACATTCGTGGTTGACATAAATTGGCCTTAGCTTTGCAAGGTGCAAAAATGTGTACTTATGTGAGTTAGCTATCGATAGGACTGAGGCAAACCTATGACAAGAATAAGACAAAGATGTGAAGTCATGGTGAACTATCTTAATTTGTTGACAGTTTTATTAGAAGACTTACCGCCACACTATTTCTACAGTGTTTCACTCTTCTTGTGGAATTTCGTTAATTTCTTAAAAAGGTAATTACACTCTCCTTCAGCTCTTCCCATGTAGCTGACTGCCAGGATTTTGAATGGTAGCGCACGGGATACGTGGATTACTTAAGCGAAGGGTGAATTCTGGTTTACTCTCTTGCTTATTTTGTGGTTTCTAGGGTTGTGGGCCTGCACATTATAATGCATGGGCACACGTGTAGAATGTGATGAAATCTGAGTACGTTTTTTGAAAGCCAATTTTTCATCTTTTGACGTACAAAGTGAATGCTAATTCTTCGGTTGATTTGTCAAACCTCAACTGCTCGTAGCCTTTTATTACTATAGATTATTTCAACTAGACTCAATTAGGCATGCTCCCATGTTGCATTATGGTGTTCAAATTGTTGTAAAAATCAAAATACAACGTGGTTAGAAGTTGTGCAAAATTACCTTTGTAATTTTGAGTTAACATCTCATATTAATCAGTAGTCAAAAGGAATGAATGGAGAAATATGATACCTAAAGTTCCATGGAAGTGGAGACTAGGCAATTATGACCTACCATTTTTTTATCATTTTAAAATTTTTTCTCATCACAATTCTGTCAATCTAAATGGACTTGCAAAGAAAGAATGTAAACTACAAAATTTAAGTTGATGCTTGATTACAGCTGTGTAACATCACATTTTTTTTTTTTTTCGTCAATTGCATTCTTTTTCTTAAAATATTTAGCATAATGATAAACACATTGCCTTTTTTGCAGGAAGTGGGGGTCAATGTTAGAAGGCTACACTCTGATGAAGGTGCAGTGCTTCAGCCAAGGTCTGCTGTTGTAACGGTTATGGGCCATGTTGATCATGGTAAGACTTCACTTTTAGACGCTTTGCGCCAAACATCCGTTGCAGCCAAGGAAGCTGGTGGCATTACCCAGCACCTTGGTGCTTTTGTTGTGGAGATGCCATCAGGTGCCTCAATCACATTTCTTGATACTCCTGGGCACGCTGCATTTAGTGCCATGCGAGCAAGAGGTGCTGCTGTTACAGATATTGTTGTGCTTGTGGTAGCGGCAGATGATGGTGTGATGCCACAGACACTGGAAGCGATGACCCATGCCCAGGCGGCCAATGTTCCAATTGTGGTAGCTATAAATAAGTGCGATAAACCGTCAGCCGATCCCGAGCGGGTCAAAATCCAACTTGGTTCTGAGGGACTGCTGCTTGAAGACTTGGGAGGTGATGTTCAGGTTGTCCAGGTTTCTGCTAAAACCAAATTTGGATTGGATAAGTTAGAAGAAGCTTTACTACTTCAGGCAGAGATGATGGATTTGAAGGCGAGGATTGATGGTCCTGCACAGGCTTATGTTGTCGAAGCAAGGCTTGACAGAGGCCGTGGACCTTTGGCTACGGCAATTGTAAAATCTGGGACCTTGGTCTGTGGACAATACATTGTTGTTGGATCCGAGTGGGGAAGAATAAGGTCAATCAGAGATATGTTGGGTGTGGCAACCACATTTGGAAGACCTGCTATGCCAATTGAGATTGAAGGTCTGAAGGGACTTCCGATGGCTGGCGACGATGTTGTGGTTGTGGATTCTGAGGAGAGAGGTAGGATGCTTAGCAATGGAAGGCAGAAGAAACTTGAGAGAGAGAGACTTTTGAAGGCCAGTGAAGAAAGGATTGAAACTGAAGATATGTCAGAAGAGACATCTTCAACTTCAAGGGTTGAACTGCCTATGGTGGTAAAAGCTGACGTGCAGGGTACCGTGCAAGCAGTTACTGATGCGTTAAGAAGTTTAAATAGTGCACAGGTAATTTGTGAGAATATTTGCTTTTTCTAGTAAGTGTTGATAGACATTTATTAATTTAATTTATTCAAGCATCCAATATGCCATTCAGACTACAGAGGGAAATTTATCCTTAGAATTTCCTTTTGAATTCTATGTTTTGAATATGGTATAGTACGCAATTGGACTGTATCATATCTCACTTGTATGATCTTTTTTTTCTTTGTTATTACCTTTATTCTAATTATTTTTTACTCGTATGAATCCTTTATTAATTTTTGAGTGTTTCATGAGACGTTTAATTTATTTTGAACGCCATTTTGCTCACATTTATACATGGTATTTGACAAACTTCTTTTCATTCTTAATCCAATCATGCTTTACAGAAGCATCCTCTATGCTTCATTGTAGATACTAAAGTTACCTAAGTTTTTTTTTCCTACTTTATCATTAATAAGTGCTTCTCTTGTTCTCATTTAATTTAAGTGTAAAAGTATTACTATCTTGTTTTATTAAGTTTTTTCTTTCATTGTAAATAAGCCTTTATTCTTTAAATTTCACATGGTTTATCGGAAATTTTATAGTTGAAATCCTTATAATCTAAACAGCTTTAATTAAATTGTTCTTGACATGTACGTTAAAAAAGATAATTCCTGAACTCTATATCAAAATCTGTATAAACAGAAGCTGTTCGGAAAAAAATTGTACTTTATTGTCCGTATCTGATTATATTTTGTACTATAGGTTTTTGTAAATGTCCTCCATGTTGGCGTTGGGCCTATTTCTCAGTCTGATATTGACTTGGCTCAAGCCTGTGGTGCGTGCATAGTTGGTTTCAATGTTCGTAACCCCCCCAGTAGCATTATTCTGGCCGCAAATCAAGCGAGTATTAAGGTAAAACAGTTTATCGATATACATTTTCTTTCATTTTTTGTGCTCTTTTACTTTTGTTTTTTGCATCAATTATTAGGTGTGTATGCACGCGAAGTTTAAACTGTGAGGTTGATGATGGACCGATCGGAAGGCTGGTGAGGGGGGTGTAATACTGGTTTTGGGATTCACTTAGTTGGGGAAAGGATGGTGTTATAGGCGGGGTTTGGCTCTTATGCCCATTGATGGCTGATATAATTTGGGTTATTCTGGATAATTAGTGGGTACAATTTTGACAACCCTTTTTCTTTATTGTTATTTTCACATCCTGGACTAGTAAATTTTGTTGAACCCTAATAAAGTCCTTTAACCCATGAAGAGACTATCTCATTACCTTCAGCTCCTTGTCTAGTAATGTCTCAAGCTGTACCCTAAACCTTAAAGGGCAACCCTTGAATCTATAAGCAGAGTTGCCACCTTTTTTATCCTTGTGTTATCTAGAAATGAAAATAAATTCAGACAGATACAAATGAAACCAAAGATCTTCAGCATAACAAAGATTCTTTTCTTGTTCTTCAAGTTCAAGATTCAGATGAAATTGAAGAAGAAATTCTCAGATTGGATTGAGTTGTTTTTCTGAGGGAAAATTGTCTTCCCCGTCTCCTTTCTATAAGCGAACACCCTGCCTACCTTTCCATCATTCCAGCTGCAGAGCTCTAATGGTGTTTCTCTATTGAGATTCATTTATTCAGGACTACATTAGGCGACATTAAACTATTTGTGCTCTTCCTGCCAAACTTAATTGCTTTGCTTTGGAACCAGTTTGTAACATCGCTTACCCTCTTAAACTCGTAGGTTAACTCGGGGTGGTACTTGGAGAAAATTTACCTTTTAAGCTCACCCAACTTTTCGAGATCTTCCTTTTGATAAAGATTTGGGAAGTTGTTACTTGAGTCTAATAATCTTGGCGACTATGATCTTAAGAGTTTCTATAACCACTCAACTATATGACAAAAGCATTTGGGAACACTGTAGACATTATTCGTCCACTCAAATTATTTTGTATAATAAAGATAAACGTCCATGCGTCTCCAGAATTGAAACAATGCAAGTATATTATAATAAAAAAAATACTTTCGACAGAATCATCTCAATTTATAAAAGACTACAAATGACCATCAGCATTAAAATATTTGAAGTAACCCCTCTCGGCAACACTTGACAATTACAATATATAATCACAAATCATGAATTAAATCATAAAGAGTATTTCATTGGCAAAATGAAAAATCTATTTTTGTGGCCAAGAAGGGCTCCATCTTCAAGAGCTGCTTTTGATGTGAGGGGAAGAATGATTCAAATTAATGTTTTTGGGCTTTTCTTATTTTGAATGTTATTTAATTAAAAGCATTGAGGGAAAGAAAAGAAGACTCGGTGATTGACTGGTCTTTCATGATGAATCTGGATTAATCTTTGGCTTTTTGAAAGAGAGAACTTACAATTTATACAACATTTTTATTGTATTTTATTATAGTTGAAAGAGAATTCTCAAATAGCAACACGTTTGTGTTGTTCTGAAAGAGAGGAATTCAAAACTATTCATCATTTTTATTTTATTTTAATTTCTTGACCGTGGATTTGGGCAAATAACACTACTACTTTGCAGCATATTCTTTACTTTCTTTTTATTTGCTTTTACTTTTTAGTATATTCACTTGAGCAACCTGATTTTTTTCAATTGAGGAGATTGTACTTCTTAATCTAGTGATTTTTAGCGTAAAATCTTGTGTTCAGATCTTCATGCATAAAGTCATATACCATCTTCTGGAGGAAATTGGCAACTTTATTGTAGAGAAAGCACCAGGGATAAAAGATACTCAAATTGCAGGAGAAGGTGAGGTCCTCAATATATTCGAACTCAAAGGTCGAAGTAAATCGAAGGGTCCTGATGTGAAGATTGCTGGGTGTCGCATCCTTGATGGTCATTTCTCCAAGCCTTCAAAATGGAGAATTTTGCGGAGCGGTGAGGTTGTATACGAGGGCTCATGCGTATCGCTAAAACGTGAAAAGAACGATGTCGATTTTGTTGAAGGGAAGGGTAATGAATGTGGACTTGTCCTTGATTGTGATGACTACAAGGTTGGAGACATCATCCAGTGCTTGGAGGAGGTGAAGAGGAAGCCCAAATTTGTATCCTCAGCCAATGGAGCAGTTCGCATCGAGTGTTAATGGTTTTTGCACGAAAATTTGTTGTTGGAGGAATTATTATCTTGCAGCAGTTTTGGTTCATAATTTTTATAAGCACTACAGGCAGTTAATTCAGCGCACAGTAAATAATACTGGAAGTCAGCGATTGAAACTTTTTAGCATAACTTTACAGTTAGTTTCATTTGTTGTTCAAGAACTTGTGTGGTGAGAAAGAGGTTTTGATAGTCAGCTCTCAGAAACTCTGCTTTATCCGTAGGCTCTACAGCTGAGTTTACAGATAGACACAGCCGGCCTAATTAGGCTTTTAGTTATTGTCAGGAGAAGCAAACACTTCACTCTTCCAGCATAAATTAGGAAATTATATGTATGTAAAACTTTGGGTCTAGTGTTTCTCCTTTGGTCTCACCTTATTCCAGTATGTGCATATAAGCATTTTTTTGTAACAAGATGTTGAGGAGCCAATAGTATTTTATTAATAGAAGTTTTATAATTAAACTTTTGGTATCATTTGCTGTGAAACATTAGAATCATTGATTTCTTTTGTAATGTAGTGTTGGTGTTTTGTCCTCTGCTTTTACTTGAAAATTCTTATGGTCAGCCATGAGTTGTATTTTTTCTGTACAAGAATTCTACTGTATTCATGTTTCAGATGAGAAATCTGGATGTGTTATGCCTTGGATTTGTATGAAATGTTTTTTTCGATATCTCCAACTGAACAAAAACTGTAGACTTTTGTTGAGAATTTTGGTGCATGTACATACGCGGCGCACAATTCGTACGTATTTACCTATCTCACACCTAAACTTTTATATTTACACATGTAGCTCTCAAATTTTTAATGTCACAAAAAATAGTACTATTGTCATTTTCTAAAAGTGAAATTCATATTTTCATGCAATATTTTTTATGTATTGAGACATGCTCAAGCATAATAAATAAAGAAGGACATTAGAAATATTATCTTTTGAGTGTGGGATTATTATGTGTGATATCCTCTTTCATTAACTATTTGGATAAATTGTAATTGTAAATTTTTAAGATTGATGACTACCAGCTTAAGCTTCACTTAATGACTATGTAACTTAAATCATATTGGATTTTTCTATATGATGACTAATCCAACTTAATATTAATTCATTAACATTTAATATTTCAGGTTAATGGCTATAAAATTTAAGTTTGAAGCCTATCATTAATCGAGCACAACATGATGAGATGATTGTAACATATTTAAACATCCCCCAATAAGAAGCAATAAAGAAGGTGGCATTCGAGAAACAAAATAATAAGTTTTCTTTGGGTGATTGCAATGGAAAATTTTTTTGCTAATTCAGAAATAATAATGTTATTATTTCTTATTTTAATTAGAAAGAAGTTCATGGTCATTGCAAGGAGTAGTTCTCATTTGGGCTCATATAATAGGAGAAATTATTGCATACGGACACCGCATGCATCTCCACATGCGGTATCCGATCCTGACCGTAGATCATGGTGATCTACGGTCAGGATTATTTCAGTTTTTTTTTAATTTAGGTGGGGCCCACTGAAATACATTCTGACCGTAAATCAGGTGATTTACGTGTTAGGATCGAACACCGCACTCAAGATGCGTGCGGTGTCCGATCCGTATGGAATAATTTTTCCATTAAATATCTTATACATTACTTTTGAAGTTTAGTGGATCATTCAATGTTTGTACATAAGGTTCTATAATTTGAACCACATAAATATTAGTGTTCTTTTTATGATTTTTTATCTCTATTTTAGTTAATGTACTGTTCATCATCTTTGCCTTAAATTTAGGATGCTTTCTTACATAACATTAACTTTTTATTTTTACCTTTACAGCCAACGGTTTCTTAAGGTTTTTGAAATTTAGCACATGCAAGCTTACAAAAATTGTAACGACTTTGTTGATGGAGGAAGGCTATTATTGTTAAATCACTTTTGGACAATGAGCTTTATATTACTCGTGAGTACAAACAATCTGGTAAAGATCTTGTTTTACGTAAAAGAAAGGTGGAAGAAAGGGTTGGACATGAAGTCTGAGAAGATATCTTAAGATTGTGTATTGAGCTTAAGTCTCCGACAATCTGTAAAATATGACTTGTCGGAGGTTTCTCAAACTATAAGACTTTTCATACAGAGAGAGAGAGAGAGAGAGAGAGAGAGATTTTCTTCCTTGAAAAAGATCCATTACCTCTTCTTTTTTCCATGGTTTATTGCGAAAAGACTATGACACGATTGTCAGGTGATACTCTTAAAGAAGGATGGACAAATGTCCTTGCTAATAATGATGGCCATCATCGATAGTTGTCCCACTCTAAATGGGCTAGATCTCCTTTGTGAAAGAGATATTCAAACATTACAGTAGATGGGCTCAGTTCAACACTTTGGTAGATGAGCATAGTTCGGGTATTCACTCCTGTATCATAATACACCAAAAAGAGCTTTATTTGGTATACCGTATACTACCTTATTTGTGTATGCAATCACATAGTAAACTAATATAATTAATTTCTACATTGGATTATATAAGATATAATTTAAAATAAGATAAAAGAATACAAAAACTTGAAAGAGGAGAAGAAAAGAAAAGAAAAAAAAACTCATTACTACAAAGTGCAAAGAGACCACTTTGATTTCATGGGCTGCGCAATTAGGAGTGTCAATTCGTGTCAACATGTTAGGTTCGAGTCAAATTTAAACTAACCTGACATGAATAGGTCTGACCAAAACTTGAGTCGAATATTATGCGGGTTGAAAATCCCAACCCGAATTAGGCCCGTCTTAAACTTGCCAACTTGATTTTTTAACATAAGGAATAACAACTACTTGGGTTAAAATTAGGTCGATTTTGGGTCAATTTCATGTGAATTTTGGTTTAATTCTGAGTTGTTGGGTCAATTTCAAGTTAATTTATGAACCCGTCCCAAGAAATTAAACGAGTTAGAATATTTAATCCAAACTAGATATGAAAATTATTTAGGTCAACCTAAACCCGCACTTTTTGAGCCAGGTTTAGGCTGAGTTGATATGTCAAGCCAAATTTTAACCCCCCTTTGTGCAATAATAGTTGTTGGGTGTAAGTCACACACACACACACACATATAGATATATATATATATAT